AACTAAAATATTCATATTTTATTTTGATACAATTATCCTGGTTTCATACAAACCGGTACTATGACTGGTAATGATATTAAAATTGGAAGCGAGTTGGGGAGTAGAATCGAGAACCATGACTGAGATCGAAATTGAAAACGGGACTAGAGTTGAGATGGAGTATGGGACTGCGATTAGACTTAAGAGTGTGACTGGGAAATAAGCACGCGGCAGAAGCCGTGGCTGACAAGCTAGTTATTTACAATAAGATTATTGATTGTAGCTTAATCGAGCTAACCCAGAATATTCAGTGTTAGTTGTGGAAAGCGGGGAGGGAGAAAGAGGTGAATTTTCTCTATACATAACCTGATTATATCCATATATAACCTGAACCATAAATAAGCTTATTATGAATAACTTAAAATAAATATATAATCTATTTAAAATAAAAGTAGATGGAATGCTGTATTAGATATTTAAATGATTTATATAAAAAAATTGGCGGCGGTCATCGTCCGTAAAGACTGCTTTAATTCTGCCATTAAAATGTGTAAGTCAATGATATTAATATTTAATTGCATAATAGACGTCTATTATGGATTTCCGCGAATTAACACTTCACACACTAGAATATTTAAAAACGGCAAGTCTAGCTGAACAAGTGAAATTATTATATTAGATTAACCAAATTACTCCGGTTGCTAGCCCAAAATGTTTGGTTTAACCAGGAATGCATGTCTAAAGGATTTCCGCAAATTAACACCTCACACAATAGAATATTTAATTGCATTTTTTTAAATGATATTAACTACAATAGTTATAGCGATGGAAAATAATAATCTGTAATACTTAACAATATATCTACGAGAATAAAGCAACAAACGACCATCAATTGGATATGAAAGATCTTGATACATTTATTTGTGTGTTTTAAAGAGGGAGACGTGCATGCGAGTAGATGAACACCGACGCCCCCAACCCCAAGCTAGACACTAATGAAATGCGGCATTCTAAGAATAGGCTTTTCTCGATAATCCGCTAAAATAAAAGCAAGCGATAAACTTTTAGATTTAAAATTAAATTAATAAGCCCATTAAACCTATTAATCGGGCGATTAATACTATCAGATCATTACACTGAAGAGCTAGAAAACCACACGTTAGACCGTTTTATAAACATCGGGTACACGGCGTTCAAACGCTCAAAATCGCAATGAATTAAGGCGGCGGCGTGTGATGGAGCGTGACACGAGCGTGAAGCGCGACAAAAACATATCGGCCGTAATGTAAAGAAAACCCGCCTCTTGGCGGAAGTGAGGAAATCCCATACAATTACTTACACTGTGCGTACACTCGGCCGCCGAATCTTTGCCGGCCTGCGCCATTTTGTAAATGAGCGATTTGTTAAATTTTTTCTAAAATTATGGATCATAATCTATAGTTCAAATTAAAATTTCAGCGTGCCGGTCTGAATCGATGCTTACGATTCGATCGTCGCTTAGATGCTAGTCGTGGTACTCCACGAATACGGTATATAAGAAAAACAGAAGCTTACGAAAGCACAGAGGGTCAGACGTAGCCCGGCGAAAAGGTTTTTTAACGTTTTTTGTTATCACTTACCCAAACGGGACCCTATCATTAGAAATATGATGAAATAGGGCACGTTTCATATTTATTTTTACTTTTTAGAAATTCTGAAGCCTGCGGGATTTTAAAGCCTTCAAATTTTAAACTCGAAGAGCTTTAAAATTCTCAATATTTTTTTAAGTATGTTTTTGCAATCATGTTTTTGAACTCGGATATATCAAAATAGAAAACTTTCGGGACTGAGCTGCAAGACCAAACGTTTCCTAGGCTTATTGGATTTTGCATATTTCATCATTAAGATAATTTAATATTAATTTACTATGTAAAACATTAAAGTTGACCGATAAGATTTATAAAATAAACTCTATACAAATGCAAAAAAACTGAAATGCAATTTAAATTCTTCCATAAAATTTAACTGCATTAGAAAATTTGACTAGTAGAAAACCGAACTAAGCTCTTTGTAGAAAATTGAGTAATTTCTTATGCTGTCTCTGCTTATGTACTCGATGATGCTAACGTGCTGAATCAGCACCGACGCTGCCTGGCCAATATACTACCTACTTATGGGGTTACTGGTCGTTTTCATGTACTAAATTGCTTAAGCAACGAAATAGTATAAAACCAAACTACAATACAAAATGTTTCAAACTTAAGCAAAAAATGTATTTTTTTTAATGTAATTATTGATGTGCGTTGAAGTTTAAATCCAATCCAGCAGAAGTTATAGATTTTTTTTATTATACTTAAGTAATTAATTACAGAGCTATTACGAAATTATTGTATTTTGATAGTTTAGACATATATTATAAGAAATTCCTAATTTTAAACGAATCGAACTGAAAATGTTCCAAAGCTTGAATTAAAACAAAAAAGACAGTAATCTTTTCATAGCCTGAACAATTTCACCAAATTTTATTGGAACTGCCAATAAAATAAAACATTATTCCCATATTTTTACAAATATCCATAGAACGGATCTGAACATAAGCTAGTAAATAATATAACTGATAAATAATAAAAAATTTTGTTTCTTGTTTAAGATTACTATAATTAAGCTGCTTTATGATATCGTGCAATATTGAGAAATTATTATAATTATTCATTAAATAAGATTGAACTTTCTTTCATGCGGACTGCAACTGTAATTGGCCGTCTCAAGGCATCTATTTGCAAGGCTGATGTGAGTAACACGGCCAATAAAACGTTTCGTAATAAACATATAGCAATGATTCAATCCATTCGACAGATCGATCGAGTTTCACGGGCGTTAGTTTGAGTGTCGCGAAGACCTCTGAGCTGAGACGTACATGGAGCTACCAATTCCTAGCCTAGATGCGGCATTGAAAATAAACTTAACAGACCGACCAACAGTGAGACGGATTCGTGTACCGAGGGTTCTGTACTACAACACAATGTAGTTTTGTTAAAGAGTTACAAGGAATTATTTTCATTAATTAATACATTTGCGGATTCTTAGCACGAGACCCGCTCACACTCGACCGATTTTTTACTTATTGTCTTTTTTAAGTTTACATTATAATCACGCCAAATTTGACGCTTGCATATATTACTGCTTTTAATATAGGTCAAAAATAAAAATAAATCGATACGCAATAAGTGTGTACTAACGTATTTAGTAAGTGACAGTTAATATTAAACATTAAAACGAGCCGCAACGAAGTGAATTAGACTTACTACTGGTCGTATTATAATTTATAAATATAAAAGAATTATCTGTATTTTTTTCAAGATTATAGATGCATCGAATTTGAAAATGAGAGGGAATGGTTATTTTTCTTATCTTGTGGCTATCTTATGTAGCGGTAAAATGCTTATCTTTCTTTTAGTAAAATCATCTGCTCCTTCAGCCGTGCAAATTAGTTATTCTAAACCGTTGTCGCTTACACACAAAAACACAGTAGTAGCACGATAAATAATAATGTATAGAACTTAGCCACATTTAAGTGTAAAAACATGTTTAACTCAGTTTTCTAGCAATTTTGCACTGTTTTTTGTGGAAAAAAAATTACACGATATTTGGTATGAAACTAAGTAAGGGTGACATTCGATTCGACTCCCCCCTACCCCCTCTTAGTCGTCTGATGTAATTAATAGACGCCCCCTTAGAGAATATCTCAACATACTAGGGTTGCCATGTGTTCAAATCAGAATATATTAAATTTTGCAGAGGAATTAGTTACTTAAAGTAAACAAATATTTCTGACGTGATTACCATCTCGAGTCCCCCTCGTTTTCTATGTTATCATAATAAGCAAAACAAAGCAAAGACGCTCGCCCCCTCCCCCACTTTGGTGCTTACGTAAAATTTGAATGACTTCAAAATTCGTTTATGATATTTTTTATACTGTTATACCTTATTGTAGCTATATTTTTCATCGCTCACATATATTTTTGAGTGAATACTGTGACATAGCGGATAGTTCATTGAAAGTTAAACATTAGTTAGACTAAAAAATATAATAAGAGACAATATGAAAGAAAACTAAAACTTAAAACTGCTACGCGATATTAAATGATACAGAAAAGAAACTAACAAATTATTTCGTATTATTGTGAAATCATCGTATCGTATATCGTGAAATTCAGTAGTGATCTTTCTTACATTTAAATCATTGCCTTTACAACCGAGCTATGCTCGAGGTCTTTCGAGTTTGTCGTGGGAATATAATAACTTTGCACGAGAAAATTTGTTTATATTGACGTCCATTAATAAATATTTAAGTACATAATATATATATAGACATAATATGCAAAACTTATGTGCTACATGCTCTCACGTTAATAAAGTCACTTAGTGCACGTCTGTCTAATTTATAACAAGTAGCTTCATCTGTTGTTCAACATTACGTTAAGCCTACTGGTATCTCAGCATTACATTGAATAGAGTAACAAAAACACAATTATCTCAAAATTCTATAAAATAACGCTACAAAGCAACGTTTTCAAAGAAAAAATGTTTTAATCTCATTTTCCAGGGACGACACATATAGATAAACTGGAAAAGCAGAACGTTAGCAAAGTTCAAATTACCATCAAATCGTTAGAACTGTTTCCAAGATGTCGAGGTACCGATGCATAAATATTCATAAATTTATACATCGGTTCCTCAATATCTTATAGACGGTTCTAACGATTTGAATAGTATTTTCCCTATCGATTACTATAACAGTGCACATTGGTAAGAATTGATTTCGAGAAAGAACACAAAATGTGAAACATGTGAACTATATTTTAGCAGTCGTATCACGCTTTAATCATCCTCTTCCACATTTTTTTGGAACCAAACTCCTTATCACACGTTGCTTTCAGGCGCTCGGCGGATAGGAGCTACACGAAAAATATGTAACCGCAACGAAAAATGCTGACCGCTGTTACTTTGGTAAACATATTTTTAAACTTGTTTGGCAACATCTATCCCACAACGAATACACTATTTCTCGTCCAATTATCGAAGTTAAGCAGCATCCGACGCAGTCAGCATTTGGATGGGTGACCGCCTGGGAACACCGCGTGATGTTAGCTTTTTTTTTTGGGGTTGTATTCTATTTTATGGTTATTTATAATAAAATATTAATTGTTATTTTTATTATAACTTAATTGTTTTTTTTTTGTATTTTTCGTTTCATTACTTTTAAAGATGCTAATTTATTTTACTGTGCTTGCATATAATTTACATGCCCTTTTTTCCTAAAATATTAAATGAAACTCTTTGATTAATTCAGTTCTGGAGAGTATTAAATTTTAAAATTTCAATAAATAAATACTTATACAAATATGTGAAAGTGACATTAGTTATTGATTTCATGTTACTTAATTGTGCAAATTGACGAACTTTAGAAAGTTTTTAATAAATAAAACAGATGGCACTGTTTAGTGCTTTTTTTAGAATTCTGATTACAAAAAATATTTACAACTTCTAAAGTTTCTTACCATTTATTCACTTATATTGTTATTGCTTATTTAATTACTGCCAAACATTTTAATTAATTTCTTTGCTATCACTCAATTTGTAAAATATACTTACAAATAGCGAAAGGAACTTCATTCCAACCGGGTGTCCCAAAGACATTTCATGTTGGAGTAAAATTTCCGTAGGCACGTTAGAGTAATTTCGTGCTATGGCGTGACAGTGAAACGCTCGAGTGATACGGTCGGGTGACACGGTCGGGTCCGCTCGGTTCCTTTCAGCTTGGCCCAGTGGACCCACGTGTTCCACGCGTTCACACAGCTGATCGCAGCTGATCGCGACTATTTTAGATATGCGCAGTTATTATTCATTGTAAACATGAAGAATGCATGTAAAATATATGTAATAAATGGAATATAGTGCCGATACTGCCCATTATACCAGTGGTTTCTAATAGTTAAGAAAACACGGTGCATCACAAATCCACGGCAAATTTTAATTAAAATTTGACTAAAAGTTACTGCAATCTTTTATGCAATAATTTTTTATTAAAATCTATCTAAATACTTGTAACTCGTTTTGTTGCAGCTAACAATGGATTTGCCTTGGATATTGTAATTGATTCCTCTCAAATAGAGTATAACGACAAAAATTTGCTTTCTTCTGCCCACGTGGAAAAAGAAGGTTATGTGCGTGTGACAGGAGGAACGTACGAGAGATCATCGTGATAAAATAACCAACAAACATTGTCCAGGGTTAGTGTTCTAATTTTGATTTCTTTTTTTTAATAATAGTTCGTCATAAAAAGATTCTTGTAACCATGAATCAATAATACAATAATAATAACTTTCATTTTTCATTTTTTTAAACTCTAAACTCTATTTCTGCATATTTTTCCAAAAAAGTTGCACTTCAAGTGTCACTGTTTTTTCCATTTCTAATTGTGAGCTTTGTACCTTAAGCTGTTCATGTTGATCCAATGCGGTTTGGTAGCTGATAGCGATCGCGTAACCTGTGATAACGATCAATGTCTTCGTGATCAGAGTTTAATTCAAAAGCAACACGCTGGCCACTTTGCCATACACCACTGTCTTTTGGGGTGCCGTACACCCACTAATAACGGAACCCTTATGAGATCGCATTATCTATCTATCTAATGCATCTCTATAGTGTATTGATAATGTTATGTATACAACTTATCCCCATGAAATACACTGAAAACTTATATTAGTAAAAGTTTTTCGCTTAACACGATCTTAGTGGATCTCTACCATCTTTACTATGGAGATCGTTATCATCAAATAGATAATCTACATAATAAATTTAAAATCATTGTTAATAATTCGGGCCTAAGATCCTCTTCTCGAACAAGACTAATGCTCGTCACTGGTACAGGTTAACGTACATATCGCAAATCAGATCAGTCGTTATTTATATCCATTATTTTCGTCAAACGAATACCACCTTCGCGAGCGTAGTAGCCGAGCGCACTAGATTCCAACATCATGGGTCCACATCCGCGGACCGTACCCGCGTCGGCGTCGCGGCCGCTTTATATCTTATGTCGGGCAAACAATGAATTTTATTTAGCGGCGGTTTTCCCACTCGCGCTCAGCCCTGGCGGATGTGCGCCGAGCTCGCCACCGCCGCGGCTGCATCATTCGGCTACGACACAAGACCCTGCCTATCATTGTATTGCATAATTACTGATTGTTTTGTTTTTCATTCGGCTGATTATCTCGTTTAGCACCGTTGAAATGATGTCGTAGCCTAGACCATTGACCTAGCTTCGTCCGGTATACTCAAATCTTTATACGATATTCGAACGTATTGGCTGTTCTTAATATATTATTAGAAGGGAAGATTTATAAACCACGCGACCTTCATTGTAGCCTACGCTATGTAGTTTAACTTTTGTTTTATTTCAAACACTTACAGAATATAAAACACACAAATCATCTTTTAATTTCATGAAGACTTCGATTACAATTTATTAAAAAAATACATATTTAAAAAGATATATCTGTCGTGGTCATTCACGTACGATTGAATTCCTGCACATTTTTTTATTAATATCCATTACATTCATGAGAAAACGGTACATAGAGCTTGCGGCAACATACAGTTCTGCCTGTACATATACCCGAGATTGACGGTCTATTGTTATTATTTGCCAAATTACTATTTTAATAGTGAAAATAATGTCCCATTTATATAACACACATCCTCTTTAATTCCTGTGTCTTTCCGATTATCTAAGTCGGTTGCCATAAGCATTAATATTTACCTATATTTATTTTTAGTTAAACGCTCCGTAGTACGATACACATGTAGTGGTGCCGTGGAAGAAGGCCACAATATAAAGAATTAATCCTTATACCTTATACAAGACTAAACATATAAATGGCCGTGTACCTATCATACGAGATGAGAAGAGCGAAATTATATTTGGTAGAATATCGCTCGGCTCGGATATCTCAACGGTACATTTCAGTGCCGCTTGAACCACCTAAAGATATATTATAGTTCTCTTATGTGGCTTTTTATGGAACTGTTATAGATCTCCTAAAATGACATCGTAAACGTATCATTGCACTGCGAGTGTGAACACATATAGATATGCTACTACTGTGTTGAATTTAATATATCTTAATACTCAATATTATCTCTATACAATCATTACTATGTTTTTGTCTTAATTATATTATATATATTTAACAAATCTGCTACATTATTATTTGTATAAAATGTAATTAAGACATAAATAAAACATAAAATGTGAGTAACAGATAGATAAGAGTGATCTCTATATGGAGGCTCCGGTGCTTGAATGAGAATGAATGGGGTAGATACTGACGGATTTGACATCCACAGAAGTTTCAGACATTCAACTATTCAACAAATTCATGGATAGCTGTGTGATTAGTAAGTGTTAGCAATTGATGGATATAAGAAAAGCAAGAGAAATACGCAAAGATCGTACGTACCATGTGGAAATCTGTGGATTCTGTCCACTCTTACGAGAAATAGGCATAAATTTACAAATAAAATAAAACAAAAAAAAATGAAAAATGGTAAATTCAAAGGATATTTATAGTTCAATTTGTCAAAATTTTCTACTATATATTTTATAAGCTACATAAAAATCGAAACACATCACCAAAATTTTCTGAGATATTAAGATTACCATAAAAATATAACAATAAACGAAGATTGCAATTATGCTCGAAGATGATAATAATTTTAGAATTGTTAATCGAAATTATAATTATCTCTAGAAATAATTTTCATTTCGATTTAAAAATTTTATTGTCTATAAAAAAAATATTCGTTCTTATTTTGAATTAAAATTATGTCTATATTATATATATAGTATATATAGTCATATTTTAATTGGAGATTATCTCTATACGTAATTATTATTTAAAATCGGAATTTAAATTATCGCTATTACTAACGATAATTATAATTTGATGGACGAATTAACATCGGTTATACTGGCGTCTAGCGTATACCTACTCCTAGAATTATATACTTGTCACTCTAGTGATAATTTTTATTCAACCGTGGAATCGAAATTATCTGTATAATTTTTATTTGATGTATGACATAATTTAATATTACGTTAAAAGCCCCGTAACTGTAAAATATACAAGATAAATGTATTATACTAACTTTTGCCGACAGCTTCGCCCGCGTAGACATAAAATTAATTTTTCCATCGTGTGTGTATCGCCCCGCAACGAAATAAAGGTTCTAATTGCTATCCTATTCTCGGTTCTAATCCCGGCTCCGCTCTCGATGTCAATTTTTTTACGGGTCCCACTTTTGATTTTGATTTCGAAATTTAGATAAAGAAATCCCGATTATATTATTGATCCGAGTCCTGTTTTAAATTTTAACCTCAGTACTACTTGTCATTCTGACATAGGTCAATTCTGATTTTGATCCCAATTTCAATTCTCGGCATGTTTCCTCGATTTCGATCTTGGTATCAACTTGACCAATTCTATTTTTCGTCCTGTGTGCAATTTGGATTTTACAAGTTTTACGGCTCTGACTTGAACGAAGACGTAGCAAATAGTAATAGTATCAAAATAAAATTTGGGTTATATGACTCGGGAACAGTGTAACTTTCTATCAGTGAAAGAATTTTTAGAATCTTTATTGGCAGAAATATGAAGATGAAGCCAAGGTATTTTTTTTCAAAAACTTCTCGTTCGCGCGTACAACATATAGCTATCTTGGTAGTAACCGAATAAATGGTTTAAGCAAGCAAAAAAAAAAACGTACAAAATACGCATAGTGGTTTCAATTTTTCGTAAAACATTTCATCCCTTATTTCACTCTCTTAGAGCTACTTTTTCGAAAATGATACGTATCGTCATTTTTCATTTGTCATAAGTAATAAAAAAAAAAAGTTTTGTTGTTAATAGGTTCAGCGGTTTCATTTTTTTTTTTATATGAAAACTTCAATCCTTATTTCAGTCTTTTTAGGTTTACTTTTAAGAACGATGCATATCATTATCTTTTATTAGCAATTATTAGCTAAAATTAAAAATTTTGATATAAATGGCTTTATCGATTTCGATTTTCTACACAACACTTATTC